CAATTTCTTGACAAACTTTGCATATACAGAACCTTGTCATAGCATATCCATTACTTATAGTCCGCTACGATGTGTTGAAAAACTGAATTTAAGTTCGTAGTTATTGGGGAAGTGTGTTTGAAGGTGTACTTATAACTGTATTAATTTATAAAACATTGCATTGTATCCACTTACGGATATTTGAAATGGTTGATTTTAATGTTGTTGTTGTTTTTTGTTTTTTGCAACCATGAATATCACAGTTCTTTTAGGTAAGTTCTGTCGTATTTTTGTACAAGTAAATTTTAAAAGGTCAGAAATGACGTTTGGCTGTGTATTGCAAGTTTTAGACAGTTTTAGTGCAAAATCATCTGGGCTAACGGTATAACCTGGTCCATTAAGGTATTAGATGACAAACATCCTGGGGTAGCGAGAAAAAAAAAGCATGATAAAGACACAAACGTCTATCATATAACATTTCTTACCTCTAATGCTTTCCAACTACAGTTTTTTTCGTTTTTTTTTCTAGTCGTTTTTTAATGCATTGATGTTCTTTTACCATTTGTGTAAAAAAAAATGCAGGGTGCAAATCAAAAACCCAAGCTAAAATCACATAGAGTAGTGGTTCCTGACCTTGTGGAATAAAATCAGCTAAAGTCACATAGAGCAGTGGTTCCTAACCTTGTGGAATAAAATCAGCTAAAGTCACATAGGGCAGTGGTTCCTTACCTTATGACTTTAACTGACTTTTATTCCATAAGGTAAGGAACCACTGCCCTATGTGACTTTAGCTGATTTTATTCCACTAAACTTTATAGTTCTTTCTGAATAGACGTTCATATTATTAAACTTTATAGCCTATACTACTGTAACATTTCTTAAGGTTTCAACAAATATTCTATTTTTCTGGCCCGTGAAGTGAATAAGTTAAGGAACCAGTTCTGTATATGACTTTAACTCACTTTATTCCATAAGGTCAGGAACCACTGCTCTATGTGACTTTAGCTGACTTTTATTCCACAAAGTCAGGAACCACTGCCCTATGTAGTTCTTTCTGAATAGATGTTCATATTATTAAACTTTATAGTTCTTTCTGAATAGATGTTCATATTATTAAACTTTATAGTTCTTTCTGAATAGATGTTCATATTATTAAACTTTATAGTTCTTTCTGAATAGATGTTCATATTATTAAACTTTATAGTTCTTTCTGAATAGATGTTCATATTATACATATTTAAAATTATCATTATCTTATATTTCTTTTTTTTTCACTTGATATTTTGCTGACTGTTAAAAGCACGTCCAAGGTTTGACGGTTGGGATCCACTGAGGCAGTTGATATCTTTCCCTAGCTCGTTACTGTTGTTAATCTTTATGTACACAATTATACCTCAGCGATAGTAGCCAGTTCTTAAAAACTTCCAATCCCAACATACATAAAACTCAAATAAAAAAAATTATCCAAAGTTCATCAGGGGCTAATGTTCAGGGAGGTGAAAAATAAACTGGTTATTTTACGGACAACTACTTTTACGGTAAAATAGTGAGCTTAGCCTTTTCTGGTTTTGCATATCAAATTTCTATATATATTTTTTAAATGTCCGTGAATTCCGTCTGGTATACAGAGGTTTCTGGTTCTTTGTTCCTCCTATACGTGTTCCGTTTGGATTCACTGCCTTTTGATATGAATTTTGAAAGTAGCTCCAGATTATATCAGTAACAGAAAGAAGAGTCATGAATCCCGCAATGTTACGAAGATTTTGTTTGTTTGTAGTTAAGCACAAAGCTACACAATGAGCTATCTGTGCTCTGCCCACCACGGGTATCGAAACCCGAATTATAGCGTTGTAAGTTTGCAGTCATACCGCTGTGCCACTGGGGGGCGTTCCAAAGAGATTGGTTAAGAAAAATACATTATTTGCAAAGAGAGATACAAAGTTTTATATATCTCAGATGACTTACACTTCCATACTTTAAGTGCTGTAAGGTTAAATGTATGTGTGAAAGAAACATCACCTAGTGGGTAAGGAGGTCACTTCCAAGTAATTTCGAAAAGGTACTTATCCAATATTCACTTGTGTCTAATAATACACACAATATCCTAAGGTAGAGTTAACATTAACCAAATTATAATCATTCATTACACTCGTCCAGAACTTTCTAATTCTGTATTACTCAGAAGATACAACGATCCTAAACTAAATATATCCTAGAGATACACCAGACTTTTATTACATATGTAATATACGTATCCTAGACATATACCATAAACTGGGTATTTAACAGACATATACTAGTTGTTTATTAAATGTATATCAGACATATACTAGATGTTCATTAAACATATATCAGACATATACTAGTTGTTCATCAAATGTATATCAGACATATACTAGTTGTTTATTAAATGTATATCAGACATATACTAGATGTTCATTAAATGTATATCAGACATATACTAGATGTTCATTAAATGTATATCAGACATATACTAGATGTTCATTAAATAGTATATCAAAACATATACTAGTTGTT